GTGTACACACACACACGCACACATTCTCTCTCAGATTCTCATACTCAGTTAACTTTGACCTTCACACTCAAAGGTATGAACCTACAAATAATGTAGACAAATCAGATAATCACACATCTGTCTGACCTTTCCCCACAGACTAACTCACCCTGCTTGATGCAGAACTTTAGGCAACCCCCAGCCTTGAGGAAACAAGAATATTCTTGTTGAGTTCCAGCAGAACACATATCTGACCCTAACTCCTCAATCTTGGAGTTCCCAATGTCTGCTTTACAACTCCCTTCCTTTGTCTCAGTCATCCCAGATCTTTCACACTGAGCCTATTTAAATCTGTCAGTAATGTTCTGCAGATTGTACAGCTGTTGTTCACTATTCCTGTATCCCATTCCATATCTCCTGGCTTCATTTTTCTTCTCACTGAAGCATATCCTTTGCTAGTCTTTCAGTTGGTGATGGTAGCAAATACGTTTTTGAAGACTTCACATGTCTGGAATGCTCCTTGGGTCATGTTCACTCTTGATTGAGTTGGTGATAAAATTCTAGGTTCACCTCCTTTACCACTACTCCCTGTTACCTCCCATTAAGTATTGAACTTGGCTTCAGCTGCTGGCTGCATGCAGGGGTCCAGGCTGCAGCCTACACTGTGAGTGAGGCTTGTGTGACCCCAGTCCTCACAAAGGATTTGAGGGCTCCACTTTGATGGCTTTATACAAGTACTGGTTACCAACAGCATGGAGAGCTTCTGACCTCAACTTTTATTCAATATGTCGTTGCTTTTGGTATTCTTGACTCCTGTTTCTGGTTGATGAAGAGTTCCCTTCTTTGATTTTTAGCATGGTGATATAGTTAATAGTACCATTTTGTCTTTCATCTCTTCCATGTTTGGAATGGAAGAAGAAAGTTCAAGGTGGATTCAATCTACCATCTTGAATCAGAGAAACTGCAAAGTTTGAATACCTTTATCCCTTCCTATTTTTTTTCTTCCCCAGTCTTTTAATGTAAATTCTGGTCTTTTCCCTTTTGGACTTCTCCATATCTCTAATGTCAAGTTGTGTTTTTCCCATATTGTTCAATCTATTGCTGGGCAAGGAAATTGGCATAGTTTACTGATTTAAAAAAAATTACAGGGTCTGGAATGAGACCTCTTGATCTATGACTACCAAGCAGAGAGTCTGGGAAATTACTTCATCATTCTAATCCTCCACTTACTCATCTGCAAAATGCAAGTAATAACCATAACTTCTTCAGGTTGTTTGAAGAACTAATGATGTACATAAGGAAAGTGCCAGCACTATTACTAGCACAAGCCATTCTGTAAACATTAGTTATTTTGTTATGGCTAATTACCATATTTTTGCATTTTAATTCACATTAAATGTCTAGATCTGTTTCTGTCACATAGCAGTCACTTAATAAATCCTAATCCTTAGGAAGGAATGAATAGAGATAATGACTCAAAAGCCTAAAAGAGATAAAATAATAACATAATCTCAGTTGGGGAGATGGGATGTCAGCATAACACTCTGAGAAGTTTTTCACACCATGATTTCTTGAATGTTTAAAAAATAGATAAATAGATGATAGAATTTTCTGAAAGAATGCACAGGTATTGTAGGGACATTGAACTAACAGTGAGCAGACACCTCACTTTTCCTTGTTTGCCTATTTCCTCTACTTGGAAACTCTGTGCTCATGTAATTTCCATCAGGCAACTTACACACACAAAAATGTCTGTGAATTTAGTGGGCTAATTGATTTTTTATTTGTTTATTTTCACTTATTTGAAAGGTGGAGAACAAGGAATCAAAGATAAGAGAGAGAGTTCTTCCATCCCCTGGTTTGGTATGCAAATGCTTGTAATAGCTAGGTCAGGTCAAAATCAGGAGCCTGGGACTAGGTCTGGGTCTCCCATGTTGACAGCATGGACGGAACTACCTGAACCATCATCACTGTCTCCCAAGGTGCCAAGGTGTGCATTGGCAGGAAGCTGGAAATAGATGCTGGAAATGGGAGCGGAACTGAGACTTCAACCAAGGCACTCTAATATGGGAAGCAGGTATCCCAACCACTGTCCTGTGCTTCTTTGGAGTAAATGATTTTGAAGTCACTGCCTCTGAATTCTAAACTCACTTCAATCCTTAGCTGTGTGACTATGTACAACTGAGCCTGTCTTCGACTCTGTTTTCCTATCTGTAAATGGCAGACCACAATAGTGCCCACCGCAGACAGCCATGGTGAAAATTAAACAATGTAATATATATAAAAAAAAACTGGAAATAGAACTTGAGACCTAACAAGCACGCAATAAAAATTAGTACTCAGTATTACCTGAAATACTAATAACAAATAGATAGCAAAAAAGATAATGTGGAGAGAACCTGCGGTACCCAGAAACTAACACGAGGATACAGTCAAAAGTAATTCCACTCCTTGCCTCCTCTGGCCTCCTATTGTGTTTTATTTTGTTTCTGCCTGAGTCGACTGCCGTAAGTTAGCCCACCTGGAAATGCAGCCCACTCCTCTCTAAATCTCATCTCACAAGCCCAGCAATCCTTTTGTGGCTTCCTCCTGGTACCAATTTTGCTACCTACTGGTTGAGATCCAGGAGGTTCTAAGAGGGATCTCAGTTTCTGCTCCACTGGGAACTAATTATGTCAAAGCAGCACTTTCCAAAATAAGTTTATGAATCAAAGTTAGGCAGGAAAATGTTTCTATGGTTCAGGGGCTTGGGGAAGTACTTGTTTAAACAGTATTAAACAGATGTGTTTATTCCAAGACTATTTGGAATTTTAGACATAAGAAGGTGTCAGAACACATTTCTGAACAGAAGGATAGAGTATGCGGCTTGCAGCATGAAAATGTCTTTACTGAGGCATCTAGGGAATTACTTTGCTTAAAGGACATATGTTGAGAAATTTTCTGTTAATGCTAAATATAAAAAAGGGAAAGTATGTAAGGAAGAAGACTGGGGGAAAGAAAGGTTGTATATAATACAGCAAAAAGAGCAATGACACTAGATTACCAGCCATATGACTTCATCTGGTCACTTGAAATCTTTTTTTTTTTTTAACTTTTATTTAATGAATATAAATTTCCAAAGTACGACTTATGGATTACAATGGCTTCCCCCACATACCGTCCCTCCCACCCACAACCCTCCCCTTTCCCACTCCCTCTCCCCTTCCATTCACATCAAGATTCATTTTCGATTATCTTAATATACAGAAGATCAGCTTAGTATACATTAAGTATGGATTTCAACAGTTTGCTCCCACACAGAAACATAAAGTGAAAAATAATAGATGATTTTTTTTAAATGATGATGAAATCAGAGCAGACCTATTGTCATGTTTAATCCCAGTGAGAGTCAAGTTGGGAATTGATAATTTCTTTTTTTTTTTTTTTTACAGAGGATCAGTTTAGTATGCATTAAGTAAGGATTTCAACAGTTTGCACCCCCATAGAAACACAAAGTGAAATATATTGTTTGAGTACTTATTATAGCATTAAATCTCAATGCACAGTACATTAAGGACAGAGATCCTACATGAGGAGTAAGTGCACAGTGACTCCTGTTGTTGACTTTACCAATTGACACTCCTGTTTATGGCATCAGTAATCTCCCTCTGCTCCAGTCATGAGTTTCCAAGGCTATGGAAGCCCTCTGAGTTCTCCGACTCTTATCTTGTTTAGACAAGGTCATAGTCAAAGTGGAGGTTCTCTCCTCCCTTCAGAGAAAGGTACCTCCTTCTTTGATGACCTGTTCTTTCCACTGGGATCTCACTCACAGAGATCTTTTGCCAGAGTGTCTTGGCTTTCCATGCCTGAAATACTCTCATGGGCTTTTCAGCCAGCTCCGAATGCCTTTAGGGCTGATTCTGAGGCCAGAGTGCTATTTAGGACATCTGCCATTCTGTGAGTCTGCTGAGTATCTCACTTCCCATGTTGGATCACTCTCCCCTTTATTTACTCCATCGGTTAGCGTTAGCAGGTACTAGACTTGTTTATGTGCTCCCTTTGACTCCCAGTCCCTCCACCATGACCAACTGTGAACCGAAATTGATCACCTGGAACAGTGAGATGGCATTGGTACATGCCACCTTGATGGGATTGAATTGGAATCCCCTGGTATGCTTCCAACTCCACCACTTGGGGCAAGTCAGCCTGAGCATGTCCCAAATTATACATCTCTTCCCTCTCCCACTCCCACTCCCATGTTCAACAGGGATCACATTTCAGTTAATTTTCAACACTTAAGAATAACTGTGCATCAATTACAGAACTAAACCAGTCATATTAAGTAGAACAGAGAAAAAAAACTACTAAGAGGGATAATGTATTAAGTTGTTCATTAACAGTCAGGGCTATGCTGATCAAGCCACCGTTTCCCATAGTGTCCACCTCACTCCAACAGGTTTCCCTCTTGGTGTACAGTCAGTCGTCACCGATCAGGGAGAACGTATGGTATTTGTCCCTTTGGGACTGGCTTATTTCACTCAGCATGATGTTTTCCAGATTCCTCCATTTTGTTGCAAATGACTGGATTTCATTGTTTCTTACTGCGGTATAGTATTCTAAAGAATACATATCCCATAATTTCTTTATCCAGTCTATCGTTGATGGGCATTTAGGTTGGTTCCAGGTCTTAGCTATTGTGAATTGAGCTGCAATAAACATTAGGGTGCAGACCGCTTTTTTGTTTGCCAATTTAAATTCCTTTGGGTAAATTCCAAGGAGTGGGATGGCTGGGTCGAACGGTAGGGTTATCTTCAGGTTTCTGAGGAATCTCCAGACTGACTTCCATAGTGGCTTGACCAGTTTGCATTCCCACCAACAGTGGGTTAGTGTCCCTTTTTCCCCACATCCTCGCCAGCATCTGTTGTTGGTAGATTTCTGAATGTGAGCCATTATAACCAGGGTGAGGTGAAACCTCACTGTGATTTTGATTTGCATTTCCCTGATTGCTAATGACCTTGAACATTTTTTCATGTGCCTGTTGGCCATTTGGATTTCCTCTTTTGAAAAATGTCTATTGAGGTCCTTGGCCCATCTCTTAAGTGGGTTGTTGGTTTTGTTTTTGTGGAGTTTCTTGATCTCTTTGTAGATTCTGGTTATTAACCCTTTATCTGTTGCATAGTTTGCAAATATTTTTTCCCATTCTGTCGGTTGTCTCTTCACTCTCCTGACTGTTTCTTTTGCAGTACAGAAACTTCTCAATTTGATGTAATCCCAATAGTTGATTTTGGCTTTGACTGCCTGTGCCTCCCGGGTCTTTTCCAGAAATTCTTTGCCTGTGCCGATATCTTGAAGGGTTTCTCCAATGTTCTCTAGTAACTTGATGGTGTCAGGTCGTAGATTTAGGTCTTTAATCCATGTTGAGTGGATTTTTGTGTAAGGTGAAAGGTAGGGGTCTTGCTTCATGATTCTGCACGTGGAAATCCAATTTTCCCAGCACCATTTATTGAATAGACTGTCCTTGCTCCAGGAATTAGTTTTAGATCCTTGATCAAATATAAGTTGGCTGTAGATGTTTGGATTGATTTCTGGTGTTTCAATTCTGTTCCATTGGTCTATCCATCTGTTTCTGTACCAGTACCATGCTGTTTTGATTACAACTGCCCTGTAGTATGTCCTGAAATCTGGTATTGTGATGCCTCCGGCTTTGTTTTTGTTGTACAAGATTGCTTTAGCTATTCGAGGTCTCTTGTGCCTCCATATAAATTTCAGCACCATTTTTTCCAGATCTGAGAAGAAGGTCTTCGGTATCTTGATTGGTATTGCATTGAATCTGTAAATTGCTTTTGGGAGAATGGACATTTTGATGATATTGATTCTTCCAATCCATGAGCATGGAAGATTTTTCCATTTCTTGGTATCCTCTTCTATTTCTTTCTTTAAGGTTTTGTAATTTTCATCGTAGAGATCTTTAACGTCCTTGGTTAAGTTTATTCCAAGGTATTTGATTGTTTTTGTAGCTATTGTGAATGGGATTAATCTTAGAAGTTCTTCCTCAGCCATGGCATTGTCTGTGTATACAAAGGCTGTTGATTTTTGTGCATTGATTTTATACCCTGCTACTTTGCCAAACTCTTCTATGAGTTCCAATAGTCTCTTAGTAGAGTTCTTTGGGTCCCCTAAATAAAGAATCATATCATCTGCAAAGAGGGATAGTTTGAGTTCTTCCTTCCCAATTTGTATCCCTTTAATTTCTTTTTCTTGCCTAATAGCTCTGGCTAGAACCTCCAGAACTATATTGAATAGCAGTGGTGAGAGTGGGCATCCCTGTCTGGTACCAGATCTCAGTGGAAATGCTTCCAGCTTTTCCCCATTCAATAGGATGTTGGCTGTGGGTTTTTCATAGATTGCTTTGATTGTTTTGAGGAATGTTCCTTCCAAACCCAGTCTGCTTAGAGTTTTCATCATGAAAGGGTGTTGTATTTTATCAAATGCTTTCTCAGCATCTATTGAGATAATCATATGGTTTTTCTTCTGCAGTCTGTTAATGTGGTGTATCACATTGATTGTCTTGCACACATTAAACCATCCCTGCATACCAGGGATAAATCCCACTTGGTCTGCGTGGATGATCTTTCTGATGTGTTGTTGCATTCTATTGGTGAGAATTTTATTGAGGATTTTTGCATCTATGTTCATCAGGGATATTGGTCTGTAATTCTCTTTCAGTGCTGCATCTTTCTCTGGCTTAGGAATTAAGGTGATGCTGGCTTCATAGAAAGAATTTGGGAGGATTCCCTCTTCTTCGATTGTTCTGAATAGTTTGAGAAGAATTGGGGTTAGTTCTTCTTTAAATGTCTGGTAGAATTCAGCAGTGAATCCATCTGGTCCTGGGCTTTTCTTTGTTGGGAGGGCCTTTATTACTGTTTCAATTTCTGTCTCAGTTATGGGTCTGTTTAGGTTTGCGATGTCTTCCTGGTTCAATTTAGGTAGCTTCCATGTGTCCAGGAATCTATCCATTTCTGATAGATTTCCCTGTTTGCTGGCATACAAGTCCTTGTAGTAATTTCTGATGATTCTTTTTATTTCTATGGTGTTTGTTGTTATGTTTCCTTTTTCTTCTCTGATTTTATTGATTTGGGTCTTTTCTCTTCTTTTTTTAGTTAGTTGGGTCAATGGGGTGTCAATATTGTTTATTTAAAAAAAAAAAACAGCTCCTCGTTTGGCTGATTTTTTGTAATTTTTTTGGATTCAATCCTGTTGATTTCTTCTCTGATTTTAATTATTTCTCTTCTCCTACTAGATTTGGGTCTGGTTTGCTGTAGGTTTTCTAGATCCTTGAGGTGAATTGAAAGCTCATCTATTTGGTGTCTTTCCAATTTCTTGATGTAGGCACCTATTGCTATAAACTTTCCTCTTAACACTGCTTTTGCCGCGTTCATAAGTTTTGGTATGTTGTGCTGTTATCCTCATTTACTTCCAGAAAATTTTTGATTTCTCTTTTGATTTCTTCTATGACCCATTGTTCATTCAGGAGCATGTTGTTCAATCTCCATGTGTTTGCGTATGCTCTAGGGATTCCTGAGTTGCTAATTTCCAACTTCATTCCTTTATGGTCTGAGAAGCTGCATGGTATGATTCTAATTCTTTTGAATTTGCTGAGACTTGCTTTATGGCCTAGTATGTGGTCAATCCTAGAGAAGGTTCCATGTACTGCTGAGAAGAATGTAAAATCTTTAGCTGTAGGATTGAAAGTTCTGTAGATATCTGTTAGATCCATTTGGGCTATAGTGTCGTTTAAATCTACTGTATCCTTGTTGATCTTCTGTCCTATTGATCTGTCTATTTCTGAGAGTGGAGTATTGAAGTCCCCCAGTACTATTGTATTGGGGTCTAAGTCTCCCTTTAAGTCCGTTAATAAATCTTTTAGATAAACTGGTGCCCTGTAGTTAGGTGCATATACATTGATAATTGTTATATCTTCCTGTTGAATTGATCCCTTAATCATGATATAGTGTCCCTCTTTGTCTCTCTTAACAGTTTTTGTGGTAAAATTTATGTTGTCCGATATTAAGATGGCTACACCCGCTCTTTTTTCATTTCTGTTGGCATGGTATATCTTTTTCCAGCCTTCCACTTTCAGTCTGTATGGATCTTTGTTGGAAAGATGTGTTTCTTGTAAGCAGCAAATAGATGGGTTTTGTTCCTTAACCCAATCAGCCAAACGGTGTCTTTTAACTGGACAGTTCAGGCCATTCACGTTCAATGTGACTAATGATAAGTGGTAACTTTGCCCTGCCATTTGCCAAAGATAAGTTCTAATATATGCTTTGAATTCCCTGTGATCTTTTGCTGTGAGGTTTCCTTCCTTGGTTTCCTTCCTTTACCTTCTTTCATATTGATGACCGTGTTTCTGTGTTTCTGTGTGTAACACATCTTTAAGCATCTTTTGCAGGGCTGGACGAGTGGCAACAAATTCTTTCAATTTCTCTTTGCTATGAAGAGTCTTTATTTCACCTTCATTCACAAATGATAGCTTTGCAGGATATAATATTCTGGGCTGGCAGTTTTTCTCTCTTAGTACCTGGGCTATATCTCGCCATTCCCTCCTAGCTTTTAGAGTTTCTGATGAGAAGTCAGCTGTGAGTCTGATTGGAGATCCTCTGAGAGTAATCTGACGTTTCTCTCTTGCATATTTTAGGATCTTTTCTTTATGTTTCACTGTGGAGAGTTTAATTACAACATGTCGTGGTGAGGATCTCTTTTGGTCGTGTTTATTAGGGGTTCTGTGAGCTTCCTGTACTAGGATTTCTCTGTCCTTCTCCAAACCTGGGAAATTTTCTGCTAATATCTCACTAAAAAGGCCTTCTAATCTTTTCTCCCTCTCCATGCCTTCAGGAACTCCTAGAACCCGAATGTTGGGTTTTTTAATAGTATCCTGAAGATTCCCGACAATATGTTTTAGATTTCTAATTTCCTCTTCTTTTCTTTGGTCTGACTGTATCCTTTCCTGTTCTCTGTCTTCTAAGTCCAATATTCTCTCTTCTGCTTCACCCATTCTGTTTGTAAGGCTCTTTATTGTGTTTTTCATTTGATCTATTGAATTCTTCACTTCAGTCACTATCCCAGTTTCCTGTTGTACTAGTTGTTTCGTTTCATTTTGATTCCTCCTTAATATTTCATTTTCATGAGAGAGATTTTCTATCTTGTCCATTAAGGATTTGTGTAGTTCAAGAATTTGTTTTTGAGAACTTCTTAATGTTCTTATCAATTTTTTGAGATCTGCTTCTTGCATTTCTTCTATGTCATCATCTTCATAATCTTGAATTGGGGTGTCTTTTTCATTTGAGGGCGTCATGGTGACTTCCTTGTTTTTATTACCTCGGTTTTTGCGTTTGTTATTTGGCATATTGGAGATATTTGGTTTCTTCACTGTGGTGCTTTTTCTTGTTATACTATGACTCTAGATTAAGTGGACTATCTGTTTTTGATGGAGCCTTAGGGCTTGAGATGGGTGTGGCCTGAGAGCTCTGTTTGGTGTGCCAAAGGTGACACTCCCAGGTTAGGCGTGGTAAATCTCTCTCTCTCTCTCTCTCTCTCTTTTTTTTTTTTTGATTTAAAAGGGAAGTAATTCCGCACAGCTGAACGAAGTTGGAGGTAGTTAGCAGGCAAATGATATACCCACAGGAGCCAGAGATCGGAAGCTCTTTCCCAAGGACCACACAGGGAATCTGTTTGGCCCTCAGAGTGGGCTCAAATTCTCCTTCAGTCTCCCACTGGGTTGCCAAAGTTACGGAATTGTAGCATCTCTGGAGAGTGCTCACGTGAATTCCGTGAGTTCTCTCCCCCACCGTCTCTTTTTTCACAGTCTCAGTTCAGTAGCACCACAAATTTACTAGGTCCTAATCTCCTGTTAATTCGCCCTGCCCAGAGTCAGGTTTTTCTGCTAGGCTCAGGGCCGGTGCAGACCTGAGATCGCTCTGCTTATGACGTATGTCCAAGATGGCGCCTGCTCTTTGTCTTGCTCGCCCTTGAGAGGTGAGAAGAGAGAGAGAAACCCGTGTCTGTACCAGTCACCCTTTTTTTTTTTTTCTCTCTCTCTTCCAGTTAGCCTGGTGAACTTTTCCCCCCCGGGGGTCGTTCACTCTAGTCTCCTCTCTCCGCTTGCCTGCCGGTGTCTCGGACTATTGAGGTTCGGCTCACCTCGCGTTCCAGCGCTGGTGTGTTGAGTCTGCCACTGGTGTCCCGAACTGTGGGCTCCCACGCTCTCCACGCAGGTCCGCTGTCAGTCACGCGTTCCGGAAGAGTTTCTTCTGCTGTTTCCTCCCCTATTCTTCCTTGAACCTGCAGTATCTCCACTTTTATTAAACTATCTCTCCCCAGACTATCAGTGTGCTCCCTTCCTATTCCGCCATCTTGCCGCTCTCCTTGAAATCTTTTTAGAAGCTGTTCCCTCATCTTTAAAATGGGTATAATTCTGTATCCCTCATAGGATCATTATAAAGACTTAATTAGAAAAAAATATGGAATGTATAGCCTAGTAAGTATGTTGTCAGGACAAAAAAGCTTAAATTACACAGTGAACACAGAAATTTTTCCTATTTCCCTTATTTACTGTTTGTTTTCCTAGCATCTGACACAACATATATAATAGTAGGCACCCATTAAATCTTTGTTAATGAATAAATGGACCAAAAAAACCTTTTATTAACTCACCGAGTAATTAATCAAATCTTCGCAATTTAGTACTGTACCAAATACACAGACATTAAGAAGATTATTGCTATTGGAATTGAACACAATATGTTTTGGTACTCCTAGGCATTCTCATTGTGAATGTCATGTTTTTTTTCATAACCAGATATTTTTCTGCAAATATATTACTCCCAAAATGAGGGCAGAATTCGCATGAATAGTGTTTAGGTCCTACACACTGGATTTATTAGGATTAACCATTTTTATGGGGCTTTCTAAAACACAATTATATGGCCATAAAGATGGGCGACAATCTTATGTCCCTTTACTAAAGGAGCATTGGCAATACAGTTTGTGCTAGGTTTATGTGAATAACCGTAGTTCCTCATTTGTTTATTGGTTTGTAGATAAATTATTATATTAAGTAGATTGTTTTCAACTTGGCATTGACCTTGAATGAGTACACTATGCGAAGAAGAAAAAGATAGACATAGAAATAAGCCCTTTGATGAGTGAACCTGCAGACTGAAATAAAAGCCTGAAGCTTTCTCAGGAGCCATTTTAATCCTCAAACAGAAGATGGTCCAGGCAGGTGATGACATTGTATGTGTAGCAGGCATTAGAGTTTGAAAATGAAACTGCTTTTCTCTAAGTTTCAGTGTGTGATTTGTTAAAGTCTGACAAGGCTTTGCACAGGTGCAGTGCTAATGAGAAATGAGGGGCAGAGGGGATGCTGTTCTTGTGGGAACAGTGACTCAGTGCCCCCCCTCTGTATCCCCATTTCTCATTATTGCCCCACCTGTGCAAAGCCTGGTTAGATCATTGGATTCATTAACAGAAACATGTTTGTCGATTCTGGAGTCCTGTTTATGTCCTATGTAAAGAGCAAAGCAATGTTTTCCATATTTCTTAGGAAAAAGTCTCTCTTGAAATTGTATTGGTGCTTAGAAAAAGCTTTGAAATCCAAAGGTCCTGTGTTCTCATTTGAGTAGCTAATTGGGAAGGAAAATATTCTACGTACAATTGACTCATTCATTTCACTAAAGCTGGTATGCTGTTTGCATATTTATTTATTTGAATTGCAGAGAGATAGAGACTGACAGAAATCTCAATATACTGGTTCACTCACCAAATGCCTGCAGCAGCTAGAGCTGGACCAAGCCCGAGCCAGGAGCCAGGAACTCAATCGAGGTCTCCCTGTCAGGGAGCTTACTACTTGAGCCATCACCTGCGATTTCCCAGTTTCACATTAGCAGGAAGCTAATGTGATGGTGGCTCAATAGGCTAAAACTCTGCCTGCGGCACTGGCACACCAGGTTCTAGTCCCGGTCGGGGCGCCGGATTCTGTCCCGGTTGCCCCTCTTCCAGGCCAGCTCTCTGCTATGGCCCGGGAAGGCAGTGGAGGATGGCCCAAGTCCTTGGGTCCTAAACCCGCATGGGAGACCAGGAGAAGCACCTGGCTCCTGGCTTCGGATCAGCGCAGTGCGCCGGCCACAGCACGCCGGCCGCAGCGGCCATTGGAGAGTGAACCAACGGCAAAAGGAAGACCTTTCTCTCTGTCTCTCACTGTCCACTCTGCCTGTCAAAAAAAAAAAAAAAAAAAACAACAACAACAAAAACTCATGGTCGAAGAAAGAGGTAGCTTTCTATGAAGGGAGGAGAGAACTTCCGCTTTGATTATGGCCCTGTCTAAATAATGTCGGAGTTTGTGGACTCAAGAGGCTTCCGGGGCCGGTGCTGTGGCACAGCGGGTTAAAGCCCTGGCCTGCAGTGCCGGGATCCCATATGGGGGCTGGGTCTAGTCCTGGCTACTCCACTTCCAATCCAGCTCTCTGCTATGGCCTGGGAAAGCAGTAGAAGATGGCCCAAGTCCTTGGGCCCCTACACCTGCATGGAAGACCTGGAAGAAGCTCCTGGCTCCGGGCTTCAGATCGGCACAGCTCCAGCCGTTGCAGCCATCTGGGGAGTGAACCAATGGGTAGAAGACCTCTCTCTCTGTCGTCCTCTCTCTCTAACTCTGTCTTTGAAATAAGTAAAATAAATCTTAAAAAAAAAAAAAAGGTGAAACCTCATTGTGGTTTTGATTTGCATTTCCCTGATTGCTAGTGATCTTGAACATTTTTCATGTGCCTGTTGGCCATTTGGATTTCCTCTTTTGAAAAATGTCTATTGAGGTCCTTGGCCCATCTCTTAAGTGGGTTGTTTGTTTTGTTTTTGTGGAGTTTCTTGATCTCTTTATAGATTCTGGTTATTAACCCTTTATCTGTTGCATAGTTTGCAAATATTTTTTCCCATTCTGTCGGTTGTCTCTTCACTCTCCTGACTGTTTCTTTTGCAGTACAGAAACTTCTCAATTTGATGCAATCCCAATAGTTGATTTTGGCTTTGACTGCCTGTGCTTCTGGGGTGTTTTCCAGGAAGTCATTGCTGGTACCTATATCTTGCAGGGTTTCTCCAATGTTCTCTAATAATTTGATGGTGTCAGGTCATAGATTTAGGTCTTTAATCCATGTTGAGTGAATTTTTGTGTAAGGTGAAAGGTAGGGGTCTTGCTTCATGATTCTGCACGTGGAAATCCAATTTTCCCAGCACCATTTATTGAATAGACTGTCCTTACTCCAGGGATTGGTTTTGGATCCTTGATCAAATATAAGTTGGCTGTAGATGTTTGGATTGATTTCTGGTGTTTCAATTCTGTTCCATTGGTCTATCCATCTGTTTTTGTACCAGTACCATGCTGTTTTGATTACAACTGCCCTGTAGTATGTCCTGAAATCTGGTATTGTGATGCCTCCGGCTTTGTTTTTGTTGTACAAGATTGCTTTAGCTATTCGAGGTCTCCTGTGTCTCCATATGAATTTCAGCATCATTTTTTCCAGATCTGAGAAGAAGGTCTTCGGTATTTTGATTGGTATTGCATTGAATCATCAGTTATAGTGGTTTGAAGCCATTAAGGATGGGCAGATGTCCTTTGAAACCCTCCAATTTCATCACTGTATATTAATTGTTCATCATAATGAAAACTCTGCTTTTAGGAAAAAGAATTTAATTTCTATTCCATATTCTCGTGGATTTTGAAAAATTTCCATTGAAAATACCCACTTTTACAGTACATTTAGTGTTAAATAGTCAAGTTTCATTTCCTGAAAGAAAATTCACTTACGCAAAATAATTTCCTGATAATTTCTGGTAAATATTAGATAAATATTTTGTATGTATGTATGTATTAACGAGTTCGAACGCTTGTGAGTTGATCGCTTTCCACTTAACTGGAGTTGTAAATGGCTGGTCTTCCAAGGTGATCCAGCAAGTAGATGGCTGAATCTAAAAGTGGATGATTTATCACTTCATTCCGGGAGAAATGCAAAGAAGTTCTTGGCTGTAAGGATACACCTTGGGCCATTAAAGTGCACACTGACAATGATAGATGCGGCGTCACTGTGTGGCTTATAACAGACAGAGCAGGGCTGGGGCAAGAGCCTCCATCTCCTGATCCTGGTTTGGTGTGTTTCCGGGATGCACAGCCCCCTTCAGTGACCCTGCCAGGAATCTCCACTGGAATGAACTGGAAGGCTGCAATTTTCACAGGAAATCAAGTCATGGCTCCAAACCTGACGTTAAATGTTTAGTAAGATCTCCAGAGAATAATTACATTTTTCTTTCCCTCTTTTTGTCATTGACATACTCTTTAAATACCATCAGAAGCAGTTTGCACAGAAGATCTGTAAGGATTGCACTTCTCCCTCTTCCCCATTCAGTATGTGCCCATGACAGGCCTACCTTAACAGAGGGATCTAGACAAATAAAAGATGTTCTATTCTGTTTTCATAACCTGGCTTCTCTCCTTTGCAACCTCTATTATTGAGAATTCTCTATTCTGGCAGCAAACATGTCATTTCATCAAAAGTTCTTTATAAAGCAGATGGCATTGAAAAGCAGCCTCTCATTTTTCAGGTATAGAAACTACATTTTTATGGAAAAACTAAAAAAAAAAAAAAAAGCTCAGAAGCCAGCTCTCTGATCTAGCCCAGTCTTCCTACCAGGCCCAACTTCTGAAGTCAGTGTGGTAGCAACCACAGGGTGATGACAGCCTCAAAGACCAGAAAACAGGACGTACAGCTTCTGCAATGGCTCAAGAAGTAAATCCTCTCTCTTCCTTGAGCAGCACGCCTCCTTTGAGGACCAGTCACAATCCATTCATTAAGAACCAATTAATATTTTCCAAATAAACGTCCAAACCCATTAACTCATTGGATCCATGCATCAGCTCTATGAAGTCAGCAGGCCAAATATTGACATTTTTAGCAAATGAGAAAGTGAGGCTCAGAGTGCTCAAACAATTAACTCAAGGACAAACAGAAATCCTGGATATTACCAGGACAACAGAAATAGTATCTGACCTGACCCTAATTGGGGAATTTTCCACTCTTCTATGCAGTTTCTCTTTCAGGTTCTAAGAGAAAGGGAGCAGTCTTTTAAGAGCAGTGGGCTAGTATGGAGTGTTTCAAGAACAGTTTAACTGCAGGGTCTGGCATTGTTGCACAGCGGTTGAGGCCAACATCTGTGATATCAGCATCCCATATGGGCACCAGTTTGTGTCTCAGCTGCTGTACTTCTGAACTGGTTCCCAGCTAATGGCCTGGGAAAGCAGTGGAAGACAGCCCAAGTGCTTGGGCCCTGCCACCACATGGGATACCCAGAAGAGGCTCCTGGCTCCTGGCTTTAGCCAGGCCCATCCCTGGCCTTTACGAACATCTGGATCCACCAGCAGATGGAAGATTCCTCCCTCTCTCTCTCTCTCTCTCTGCCTGTCAAATAAGTAAATAAAATCTTTAAAAAAAGAATAGTTTAGCTTGAGCCACCAAGTCACTCCCAAAGAAATTACAATAAAACAGCAAATTAAACAGATATGATTCTATATCTGGAACTTGAAAACTGGTAGGTTTACATGTCACAAGAAGTCAGAGCAGACTGAAAATCCTAAAAACTGGTAAATGGGAGGTCCATTTATCCAAGTTTTTCCTTGTGTTTTCAGACTCTTCATGCACGTACTAACTTTATGTCTCAGAAGGAAAACACGGGTTGTTCTCTATGCTAGTCAAAATGTCTTTCTCACTATTTCATCCTCAAGACAAATGCTGTCCACTAGAGATATGAAGAAAGCCATGTAGAAGATTTCATTTTCTCTAGTAGGCACATTTGAAAAAGTAAGACAGGAATAAATTTCAATAATAGATTTCATTTAACCCAGCATATCCAAAACATTATCATTTCAACGTGCAACCACATATTTCAAAAATATGTTTATGAGCTCTGAACATTCTGGATTTTTATCTTAGTCTTCAAAATCCAGTGTATACTTTCCATTCACAGCATTCCTCTCTTCAGACCATCCACACTTCAAATGTGTCAAAACCACACGTGCCAGTGGCTGACAGCAGTGCTCCAAGAGCACTCATGAGCTATCCTCGGATTTTATGAAACCATCTCTTAGGGTTGTGCTCACCTTCCCCTTTCTCCCCAGTTGCTATACTGGCCTCCCCCTCCAGAAGGGGACCCCAAAAGCAGCTCTTAGGTTTGTTTCCAAGGCGGGGCAACCTGTAGCACTTAAGGCCAGAAGGAAGCAATTGACCTAAGACCTTAGAGTGGCTCGCTTCATGGGGAAAGCAGAGAGGCTGGCAAACCAGAAAACAGGAGCCCACTTTCTCCTCCTCACCAACTTCATCCTCCAACCTGTTAACATCCTGGAGAGGGAAAAGGCCTCAAGAGTTGCTTTTTGGGTCACTGATGGGTGATTCATCCAACAATGGGCCATAATTTCTAAGATTCCTCTCTGCAAATCAGCTCTTGCTAATGGCAGACCACCATTAACATTGATGCTAACAGACTGGAAGATAAAAGGGTGGAGGTTTGTTCCTCCAAACCATTGAAAACTCCAGGCCTAAACCCATTTACAGAACATTTTCTAATAGATAAATGAGACACAAATCATGTGTACCTGACTGTAAATGAATAGCTCGCATACAGAGGGTAAACTAGAAACTCCATTTTCAGCCTAGATGAAAATGACATGTTTTTGTTTCTGCAGAGACTAAGTGCTTCTTCCCAGTAGGCCCCCACTTCCACCTCAAAGAGAGTGAATTACTCCCACTATTAACATGTTCCCAAACAGATGTGCAGGAGGCCAAAATCCGAACCCTTCTAGCCATTTAAACTGTGTCTTGAAATAGCACCTCCCGGAATAAATGGACCTCCCATTTACCAGTTTTCAGGATTTCCAGTCTGCTCTGATTTCCTTTTTATGTAGCTTTTATTTTGTGTTTCAGCACGAACCAGGTTTGCCATAGCAAGGGAAAACCAGAGCTAGGCTTGAAAATGATGCTGAAACATCTAGATTCAAATCCGGAACCCAAGTGGGCGGCAGTCAAGTGAGACAGGTTTTTCCAAGTACACAGAAAGTGAAATACTTCCGTCCCAGGCTGTGTCTACCATGCGTGCAGAAACCTCGTTGGTTTGGCAGTTTTGAGGACTAAAAGGGCACTCCCTGAGCTGTGCTCTGAATAACTTATAGTTACTGCTTCCAATGTGATTGATTGGGGGGGGGGGGGTGCAGGTTGGCTTCTGGCTTGTCGGTGAATGTGTGTTTGTTTTTTCTACTTTTATTGCACGTTAAACCAGATGAACCCAAAAACACCAGTTGTTACTTTTGAATGATTTTTTAAATTATATCACCAGTTGAGGCTATTGATTTATTCTATTGATTTAAAAAAAAATAAAACCCTCTTCAGTTCTCCAGTGACTGCTAGCCACTGGCCTCCAAAATCAAATTTCCACATGTCTCTGCCACTTAACTTTATTGGATGTTTCCTAAATGTTTACTAATCTAAAAGTGGCACTTTTCATGTTTACTGGGTCTAATGACACTTTGGTATTTGCAAAATCACTCTTTGGGGCTGTGCTGATGGCTAAATTGCAGAAACAGAGATTTGGGGTAGACCTAAGGAAAGACTTCCCTATAGCAAATACAGTGAATGCCGAAAAAGCTTTTCAAAGCTCCTCTGAAATAAGTCAGGGAAAAAAGCAATGTGATCACTCTGTTGGAGTCTACCAGAAAGTACGTATAGCTCACTCTGAGTATTCTCCCAGCCCAATGCCACGGCCTGCAAATTCTCCAGTCTCCAAATGCTAACCCCTGCTCCAATGCCTGATGTGGATTTGATGTTAACTACCTGATTATCAAATTGTAGTGTAGTAGTGATGGTGTGTGTCTCTGTAAACATGTTGGGATGGAGTGGAAGAATCTGGGCAAGGGAGTTGAATAAAGGTGAGGGGGACGAAAAAGAAAACAGTAAGTGAATATTTTCAAAAAGCACAAGCAGTAATCCTTAGCAGCATTACTTGCAGAACTGAAATGTGAGCTTCGTTGATAGCTGATCCTTCTCTGTTCTGAGGGGATGCCTGGCAGGTGAATCATTCCACTGCCCTCCAGAGAGGGGTGCACTTCTCAGTGGCAGTGCTGCAGGTGCATTTCCCAGACCACCCAGGAGAGCACCTGCACACCCCTAGGAGCAGTACACTGGTCTTGCAGTGCCCAAAGCATATTCAGTAGGCTTGCTCTTACCCTGCCCCTCAGTGTCCCCCACTTTCCCTGCCTCTTTGCTCCATGGAATCGGCAGAGGCAAGCCTGTGAAGCAAACAAATTCGTTGGCTTCAAACAGGCAAGAGAATGAGGGAAATCCCTGTAGCCAGGAACATGCCCATCCTTCCTTACAAAGCAGGCTCAGGCTATCTAGTTAGTGGGTAAATGAGAGAAAGAAAACCCAAGTGTTGAGGTGACACTGTAGCTGGGTTAGCAGGAATTGCAGTCTCCTAGTGGGGCAAAGGGCTTCCCATTCTGCCGTAACCACCACACTTCATGGTTTCACTCCGTGACTGCTTCCCAGTGTGAATCCATGGCAAGCTGGGACACACCTGCCAGGCTTGCACAGGAGCAAATGTATCTAGGTTCCTAAGGGTTCCCTGGCACAGCTGGTTCCCTGGTTCCCACAGCTGTGTCCACTTCCCAGCATTAAAGATTAACCACCAGGGCTTCATTGGCATCTTTATTAGCAACTTGATCATTACTGCTGACCCCACAGCCAAAGTCAGGCTTCCCAGGGTCCACTCCTGAACCTTATCGTCTTTATGGCTCATTCCTCATGGGGCAGATAGGAATCACAGTAGCCCTGACCTCACATGGCTGCTAATGCATGGAAAACACTCAGCAATGTGTATGGACAAGTAGTACCCACTCAGTAAATATTAGCTGCCATCCTCACAGCCCCTGCCCTTCTTCTTGCCACCGTCACACCTTTCTGATCTTGCTTTCATCTGGATCATATCTGAGCCAACGTTAGGCTGATGTAAATGGAAAACACTATGGGCTCAGTCATTTATCCAAGTCCTTCTAATGTTTTTAAAGTATTATGTGTATGTGTGTATATATATAAAGTATATTCAAGAAGTGTGGAGGAAAAATATGAAAAAATGCATATGTTTCGAAGAATTTTTACACCAAAATAAACATCTTTTCATTCCATTTTTTTCATATTTTTTTGAGGTGTTTTCACACGTGTGTGTATACATGAGCCACTGCAAGCTTCCAGATCTGTGCTAGTGCATGTATAGGTGCAGCACAAGGTCAGCAAGCACTTGTACAGTTTTCTTTGATTAACAGTCTTGAAAACGCAACCCCTACTGGTTTCCTTCCCTTCCCTGTCCACTTCCTCCTTCCTTCCCCCCAGCCCCCAGAGCTTTCTGGGATCTCCTCCAAATAAACCACCTGCTCTCAAATCCCACTGTCAGGTTCTGATTCTCTGGGAAATAAGAGTTCTGGGAACTTAGAATCCCTTCACAGGACTCCGGATGATGTCTTACATATAGAAAATACATTTTCCTACAAGAGTTAGAAATGGTACAACAGCCTCAAGTTGTGCTTGGTCATTAAATAGACAATGCCCCCCTCCCTTCTCTACCACCCCTATATCTTCCATACTGTGATGTGTGATGTTGTGGTTGTGATATTTCATATTGTGATGTGGTAGCTGCACTGTAAGAGTTCAATGCACAACAAGATTTTGTGTCACATGAGTAATTCCCTGGCCCCGCAAAGTCTAGGCTTTCAAGAAACAGACCAACAGCCAACTCATGAAGGTTAATTCTAGTATTTCCTGACCACTCTCAAAGAATGCTAATGCAGGCATTTCTTAAAGTTCATGTTTATCTCCTTGCCCTTTTCCCCCACTGTTTGAGTGTCCCATCCTGGCCCTGGGGTCTCCCAGCTCCCTGAAGACTCTGTCCAACAAACTCTCCAGCTACTTCTTTATTACTTAGATAAACTTAACCTCTCTGCACACATTTATTTTTCTCTCAGCTTCCAAATTCTGCATACTAAAGAAATTGGAAGCTGACGCTGGTCCCCAGGACAAAATGGTGGGCATGAGGAAGAGATGTGAATATTTGTACAGGAATAATTTTTACACCATTAAACTTTCCTCCTTGGAACATCCTTATGAACTCTGCCAACAGAGACCCAATGTTGGCTTGAATTTTCCAAAGCTCCTTTCATTCCTAATTTATCCAGCTCCCCTTTATTTTTCTCACTGGAGTAGGCATAATTTCTCACAATTTCCCACTGTGCTTCCCAACAGAGTCTGACTGTGTCCATTAGTGTCCCTCCTGGCAAACTTAGATTTGGAAAATGGATAACTAAATCCCCATTTATAAAAGGTGTTTTCTTTTGCTAGCAGTTGCCATCTGTTCCTCTCTGCATCAGTGTAACCCCCCACCCCTCCAACATCCTCTGGAGATGTTTTCATTCCAGTTGTTCTTTATTCACTTGCACATTCGATTATCAGCCTTTCTTGAAAGAGGAGAAAGAAGGAGAAAATCAAAATAGAAATAATAACAAATATTAGCCCCACATAAAAAGAGCCATGAGAAGAGTGGCTTTTTTTCCAAGTACATATAAATAACTCATGAAAGGTTGGAAAACAACAAAGAAAATGAATGTTTTTTTAAAAAAGACCTAAATGCAGGAAGAATAATTAGGAAATAGCTAGAAAGATGAATAATAACAAATAGCAGGAGGAGAGCCTGCATCAGATTCAGGGGATAAATTATAAGAGGAAAAAAATTGTCAGGTTCCAATTTACAGAGAGTTTCTTAGAGATCTATGTGTCGTTCGTACTTTCTTAGATATGCCAGACATCTCCAGTGTCCATCCCATGTTTTGAATGCAACTTTGTTGGACAACTGGATATGATTTAAGATATGCCATCCAGGCTACCTGCTGATTTATTTACTTACAGTGAGCTCTCACCAGCAACACAGTTCTAAATGCCAAAGAAAACTTCCATTTCCATCTATTATGTGGTCAAAGAAAATCCCAGTCCTTGAACTTGCACTGCAGTTTGTTTTGTGCCATTCAGAAATTTTGCAGGGTCTTCACGTCTACCCTCTAGCAAAGATGCAGGATGTGACTGACTTCTGACAAATAGATATTTGAGATCCAAAATATATTGAGGTTAGCTTGTTTGTCATCACCTTTCTTATTTGCCCAAGTTCTATATAGACAGAAAGCAGCATTACCAACCCCTTTCAAAAGAAAAATGCATGCTGAATTATATATGAGCAGGGTAATGTCAAGTGGCTGTGATTGCAGCGTGGGAGTTGTTTTGGTTTGTTTTGTTTTGACTTAAGTCAGGAAACAATGAGTATGTTTGTCATTTTCTAAACAATATGGCCCGGATCCACTTGTGGATGGTAGTCTTTCATCTCCATGGGAGATTCCACCCAACAACTGCCATCTGCCAGGGGTGCCTACAAATGTCAAAGTTCTGCTGGATTTCTCTGAAGCCTGCTTCTGCTTTCAGCAGCTTTCAGTAAACTACAGGGCCACAATTTACTTCCATTGTTGTTTCTTCAGGGAGACAGAGTGGAATACATCTGCTGCTTTAGATGAGAAGCCCATGAGAAGAGTACACATGCAATCAGACCAGCTGGTGCAAAAGCATCCAATTCAGCTGCAGCCGGGGGTGGGGGTTGGGGGGTGGGGTTAATGGAGAGAAAAGAAAAGCCCCCACTCATTATGTGCAACATTCATTTCTAAGCCAATGTTTGGGGAAGGGACATGTTTTGTGGGGAAAGACATAATTTTTTAAATCAGATTGAGTATCAGCAACCAAGAATAAATTATTAATCATTAAGAGAGAACACTAATTTCTAATGATAAAAGTGAATGTGTGTATGCCTGGGTTCCTAAAATTCCTCACTGTAAAAAATTACATGCTGTGCCTCTAAATGAAGAGTGAAGAAATGAAAAAAATAGTTGCAGCAAATCATCTTTGGCTATGTAACTAATCATCAAGATGGAGTAGATAACAAAAATAAGCATTTATTGGCTCACAGTGCTGATTCAGCAACTGATGATGTGTTCAGCGGGGCGGATCTTCTGCTTGTCTTGCCTGGCATCACTCACATACATGTGGTCAACTGGTGGTGTGGCTGGGAGTTGATTGATCACAAATGGCCTCACTCACATTTTTGGCTTTCATACTGGCTGTTGGGTAAGGAGGTGAGGGAAATAAGCTCTGTGTTTCTAACAGGCAAACCCAGTTTATTCTCATGTTGGTGGTCACAGTGTTCAGAAACACAGCAAGTGGCCAGCGCTGCAGCTCACTAGGCTAATCCTCCGCCTGCGGTGCTGGCACTCCAGGTTCTAGTCCTGGTTGGGGTGCTGGATTCTGTCCCGGTTGCTCCTCTCCCAGTCCATCTCTCTGCTGTGGCCCAGGAAGGCAGTGGAGGATGGCGCAAGTCCTTGGGCTCTGGAAGCACCTGGCTCCTGGCTTCAGATCGGTGCAGCATGCTGGCCGTAGTGGCCATTTGGCAGGGTGAACCAATGGAAGGAATACCTTCTCTCTGTCTCTCTCTCACCGTCTAACTCTGCCTGTCAAAAACAACAACAACAACAAACAGCAAGCAAGAACCAGAACCAATGCACAAGCACTTTCCAAGCCACTGCTTATGACAGGTTTGCTGTATCCCATTGGCCAAAGCAAGTCATGTGACCAGGCACAAGGTTGGCATGGACAGGTAATGCCCAAGGGAGTAAGACAGCAAGGCAGAAACAAATCAGGCCATTATCCCAACAATCTACCTGAGAAACATAAGTATTCTTGGAAATGTTTTTATCCGTATCAAAAGACCAAAACTCTTGGGACATAGAATCAATAACAAAATAAATCTTGGGTATCTCCACATTCTTCCTTTGGCTGATGAGACAACTTAAACTCAAAGAGGTGACTTTATTTGCCCATGATCACATGAGTAACTGGATAATATATTTTTTGGGGTTTTTTTGGGTTTTTTGTTTGTTTGTTTTGTTTGTTTGTTTGTTTTTGACAGGCAGAGTGGACGGTGAGAGAGAGACGGAGAGAAAGGTCTTCCTTTTGCCGTTGGTTCACCCTCCAATGGTTGCCACGGCCGGTGCACTGCAGCCGGCGCACCACGCTGATCCAATGGCAGGAGCCAGGTACTTATCCTGGTCTCCCATGAGGTACAGGGCCCAAGCACATGGGCCATCCTCCACTGCACTCCCTGGCCACAGCACAGAGCTGGCCTGGAAGAGGGGCAACCGGGACAGAATCTGGCGCCCCAACCAGGACTAGAACCCAGTGTGCCTGCACCGCAAGGTGGAGGATTAGCCTAGTGAGCCACGGCGCCGGCCAAGGATAATATATTAATTATGAAAGAATTGGGAAACACCTGGAATCATTGATACAGTAATTTGATTTAATATGTAGGATAGGTAAAACTATAGTGGGAGGAAAAATCTACCTTGGCCTACAGAGTCTGGAGAATATTTTAAGAAAGAAAAGACAAAGCTCAAGTGGGCAGGTAAATGAGTAGATATAATTAAGGAAAGCCAAGTGAAGCTCCAAGTTGTCATATTTCTCTCATATTTTCTTAGATTCTCAAACTTTATTGTGCATATGAATCACCTGGGCATCTTTTTAAAATAAAGATTCTAATTCATAAGGTGGGATATGAAACTGAATTTCTAACCAGCTAAAACTGCATATGGAAGGGCCACACATTGAGTGGCAAAGCTCTAGCAGTCAGCCTTGTTCATCCAATTTCTCATCTCTTAGCTTATTATAGTTTGGATATAAGTTTAAATGTTGAATCTCCCCCAAAATCTCATGCATTACTTGGTCCCCAAAGTCTTATATTAATGGTACTAAGAAGGCAGGGATTTAATCCAATCACA